TATCCCAGATACACAATATAGACAATTACCGGGGCCATTACCCGACTCCGGCTCCCTTATATAGAATGCAGAACAATTAAAGATACCAGGGCCCTTACCCAGCTTCGGCTGCTGAAAATCGCAGAAATATTTGTAAAAAGCTGCTGAACTTTTTCTAAGCTTTTGAAATTCTCCTAGCCTCCTAGGCACGTTCTGCAAATTAAGGCTAAGAGAGAGGAATGATCAGGAATCTACTAAAGGGAAACCCAATCGATACCCAACAAACCCAGAAGAAACTCCGCCAACATCACTCCTTTCCCAGATCTCTCTAGCGGGCCTCCCGCACCCAACAAGCACAGGTTACAGGGCCGCACGACCATGCCCCAGCTCCCACAAGCGTCATTTTGGCATCAACCCTCTTCTGGCCACTGGACATACCCCTCCAAGGCAAATCCCCAGATCTCTCCACCAGGCCTCACGCCCCCGTCTTAGCAGTGGGTTACGGGGCATCGCCACCTCACCCCAGAACCGGCCAGCGTGGTTCTGGCATCGGCCATTCATGGACTACTGAAAGTTGCAATGCAATCAGACTCGCATACTTCGTCACTTCACATGCATACAAACAGCTGGTGAATCACACTGGCGCATAGCGCCCAACTCAAAGCTCAAAGATATGGAAACCAAGACACAGTTCAGATGTAAGCTCGCTTCAACAGGCTATGGTGCATCAGCACCCACACATCGCAACTCTTGTCACTGTGTCCAACACCACTGTTCGCTTCACACTTCAACTCCGGATCACCCTGGATACCCCACGCACACACACTGTACACACACTACACTAACAGCTATGGCAGCTATGGCCGCCACTAACACTACCCTACAAGCAGCTATGGCTGCGCTAACTCCTTCAGCCCACTTCGACTTCAGGCTCCTCTGCAGACCACCTCGCACAAGTCACCGTGGCAGCGCTTCCGCATGGCTTCCGCATGGCTTCCGCATGGCTTCCGCAGGAATGAATGAATGGCTGTGCGCTGCCTCTTGATTTATACTTCTGTAACTCGTTGGTCTGCCTCTTTCCACCGGCCCCATGGTGCACACAGTCCCCCTTGGTACTTGCTGACTGTGCAAAGTGAGACTGGGACTGGGTACCGCTGACTAAGCGAAGTTGGACGCACCACTTGCCCACTTGCCTCTGGCCTCCTGTGGAAAACGTGAGAGGAAAACTCGAAAGGCCACTTCCGGACCATCCGGAAGACCGTGGACTTGGCCTTTCAGTACTGTAGCAGCTACGACCTTGACCCTTCAGGGCTGTAGCAGCTACGACTTTGACCCTTCGGGACATCTACAGCTACGACTTCTGGAACTCTCTAAGACCTCTACTCGACAGGTCTACAGATCGAATCCCTATGTCCACACAGTCCTACGACAGACAAACAACAACTCATAAGACACAGGTCACGGGTTCAAGCACTCAAGGGTCAACTCGATACTATACATGGGTGAGGTAAGGTCTGGGGATCAAACCCCGGGATCTGCATATGCCTATGCAAAGGTGAAAACCGTTTCAGCAACGTCAGCGAAGCACCGAATGAGCTATTGGCACAAATACGGGTCTCCAAACATCATTGCCCCACCACTCTCCCCTACATCCTTGTTTGGGAGATGTTTGAGAGTTGATGAGGACGTTGAGGAACCATACTGAAACAAACCCACCCTTCTTCCACTACCCGCCCCACTCCGGCAAGGCTTATCACAACAGAGCCACCAATGATCTCTGTTGCCGCTGTGCCCTTCCTCAATCCTGCTGACACGAAGGCACTGTCAGAACGCTTGGAATCCTCCCAACAATTCTTTCATGTCCCACTTAGCCTGACTGGGCAGAGCCTGCATTTCTGCAATACCCCTCCCTGTCCAATCAATACACTATTACCCTGATGGCACTTACCCTCAACCCTTGCACCCCTAACAAGGGAAGGTAAGCTGGGACAACCAATGAAATCAAACCATTGGTATGATCTTCTCAACTGAAAGACAAGAGTACTATGAAGTATTTGTGGTTTGAATTTTTTAGCATACCAGCACAACCTTTCGACCTCAAACATCCCCACTCCGGCAAGAATTGTGACAACAGGGCCACCAAACAGAACAAAGTTCAAAGATCAACAAAGCACACTTTTCACAGAGCTAGCAACAAATTTGCCGGTGATTGCCTCGTGAACCATCTGGATATCATGCGGCCTACCAGCCAGAGAGGGCCCTGGTGGCAGGGTGCAAAACTTGAGTGTACCCCATTTGACGATTTTCCTACTCGTACTGTTTCACAAAGACTTCTGAAAAAAAACAGTAATGACAAACTGTTTCATCAGACTCTCGCCGATTCATCAGGAGGCTGAATCATCGACACTCTGGAGAATCCCCATAGTGATGTTTTCAGTCATAACTTACTTTGAAGTTTGATTTGATCCCCAGGCAAGGGACAACACCCGCAGCAAGGCCAAGGGCCATGAGGGAGGTGGGCAAGGGGGCGGCACGCAGCAAGACAACCAAGCAAGTCTCAACAACGCAAGCAACAACCGCATCAAGGGAGCAGACAAGCAGAAAGCCCAAGCAGCAGGGAAGCAAGGCAACACAAAGCAACCGGACATGCCAGCAAGCAGAATGGCAGCATCAAGGACAATCCACACTTGCACCGCGGACCAGAGACGACTACCACTTACGCGACAAGTAGAACTGTACAGACTGTAGGTTCAAACCACCATCAAGAGTCATGGAGTCACTTTGGTGAACAGCTTCCATCACCGGAGAACATAGGCAGACACGCATTCCAGATGCAGAAGAACCCCCCGTAATAGTGTTATGGGCACTTCTAATAAACAACACATCTCTTCTCATTGCACTTGCAGATCGAGGAGAACACAGCAAGAGGAATAGAGCAGACACACAGAGGACAACATGAAGAACATATTTAGAATGAACAACGAAGAAAAAGCTCACGAAAAGTATGCTTGTGTGTGTGTATGTCTGTGTGTTCGCTACACACACCTTCACAGAAAGAGCATGACGGTGCCAGACTGTTTTGTAGGACTGTCATCAACTCATGTGTATGTGTGTGTGTTGCAGACTGTCACTGGAACAATCCCTTTCCCGCCCAGATGTTTATATCCAAAATTGAAACAGCCTTACCGTATACTCTTTTATCAAAATATAGGTGAAATTTTACATGATTGTCATGTGTTAATCGATGTAATGTTTTGATGAAACAGCCATTTCATTGTCGTGTTAGGAAAGGTGCAAGGCCCACCACGCCTGCGTACTTGAGCATGGGATGCATACACACCATAGTTGCGGCGCACCTCGATTATCAGCTATGAGTTATGTGTTATGTGTTATGTGTTTGTCATATCCAGGGGGCAGGGTTATCGGTCCAGAACCGTCGCACCAGTTCGCCACAGGGACGATTTCTGCCAGGGAAAACCTCCAGCCCATCCCCCGCTACACCCCCCCCCATCGGTTATCAGCTATGAGTTATGTGTTATGTGTTATGTGTTTGTCATATCCAGGGGGCAGGGTTATCGGTCCAGAACCGTCGCACCAGTTCGCCACAGGGACGATTTCTGCCAGGGAAAACCTCCAGCCCATCCCCCGCTACACCCCCCCCCATCGGTTATCAGCTATGAGTTATGTGTTGTGGTTTGGAGTTGAACCCGGGACCTCCAAGTTACGATATCAGAGCTGTACTGAGCTGTTGAGGTCATTAGTCTGTAAAGGTGCTATGCCAGGCTCGGGGCAAGTACGTGGGTTGCAATCTACACCAACCAATTGTTCTCGGAGGAAATTGCGGGCTGACAACGTCGAACCCCCAACCTCCCAGTTGCAACACCGGAGCTCTGTCCACAGAGCTACCACGCACTTGCTTTACCAACTGGTCGTCTCGAAGATAAGACGCCAAGCGTGCGACAAGCACTATCGTAGAGGACTACTCTTGGAAACCAGGGGAGTGGGGAATACTGGCCCAGGAAACGATACCACAAAGATCCTATCAATTCTACCGCAGATCTCCTACATCAGACTTTGCAGGAGTCTCCACCTCGTTCCCAATAGATTGGACCAACCCCAAAACCCTGTCCATCCGCAATATTGATCCACAAGAAGAGACCCTGAGCTCATATACGCTTCGAAAAATAAGGGTACTGGGCATCTGGCCGAAGACTATATTCCAAATAGACACAGCAATTCAAGATCTAGAATTCGACCCAGATGAATGGGCCTGGACCTCAGGTAGTAACAAAATCTGCAAGACCCCCAGGCACATAACTCAAAATGGGGTACAGGTTGCTACTGAAAACAAAGGACCCGGAGCCTGTAATCAAAGAAAGATGGACCGAATTGCTAGGATAGAGAATGGAACCAATCTCCAAGTTGCCCTTTGGGAAATACAAATCAATACACCTAGTTAAAATCAAAAGCCTTGAATGGCTGATTACATACAATGCCCTCCCAGTGAACTCTTGACTACACGTCCATAGAAAGAGTAGTGAGCCAAATAGTTCAGAACAATGTTTGTTCTGCTCAGACAACGAACAGGAGGATTGAATACACTGTCTCATAACCTGCAAATTCACTACTGACTTAGGGGTGAGAGCCTCAGTACTTTGGGACCGCCTCTTCCCCTCCTCCCTTCCCGAACACCCGATCCAATTACTCCTATGGACTAACATCCCTGCTCAATTTAACAAATCTGAACGCATCTGGTTCAGGATAATCAGGAAGGTGCTTTGGGTCATTTGGAAGGAGAGGTGCAGCAGAACCATCGACAAGTCCAGCAACCCGAGTGAACAGATATGGGCAACAAAGCGACTTCTGATGGAGACTAAGATCCGATGCCAAGGGAAGAAAGTCAAACTCCAGATCCAGCAGGACCTGCAGAAGCAGCAAGAGCTGGTATCAAAGTTCAGGAAAATTTGGTTGGCCTACGGAAAGATAGCTGAGATTCATGGATAACAAATCAGATGGCGAGACTGGCATAATTCGGCTGCTGCCCAGGAGACAAGAAATTCACACTGGAACGAACAGCAAGACTTCAGAGCCTCATGAGAGGGTTATGTCAGTTCTAATCTCTGTTTTCCTTTCTTTTTCGTTTTACTGACAGATTCCCACAAAGCGATCTGAGAGGTGACTCAGGGAAAGGCAAGCTGACAGTCGATCCTCCAATTCAGTGGAGTAATCATTGCTGATCGGGGACCCTTCGGCCCGACGGAAGGGGGCGTGTGTGTGTGCAATGATGTAATTCTGCTATTTTGACTTGCCAGGGTAATAGGAACTGGACTGACGCTCCCCAGAATGGATATGGAGCCAGGAAAAAGACCTGTTAAAAAAAAAAAAAAAAAAAGGAAACCAAAAGCCAACCAGTGACACAACTGTTGTAGGTGACCTGAAGAAGTGGCAGCGCCTTGTCCTTGCTCCTCACACCAGCACGAACTCTGAAGCCGAGTTTGAGCAGCACCCTGACAGCAAAGCAAAAAAAAACACAGTGAAGATCATCAGAGCAAAGGAAACAAAGCAAGGGTTCAGAAGCCAGACAGGCGAAAACAATTAAATTCAAAACACTTTGATTGGTCCTCGAAGACATCACTGCCATCAAAACTGGAACAATACAGAGAAAATTAGCATTGTTCCAACCCATTTAACAATGACATGCACAAATCAAGAAACGGCCCAAATTTTAGGGAGTAGGGTCAGAAGGCTGAAATTTAAAGTGGTTGATGGAAGGGCACCACCAGGCTTGGAGCTTGGGGCATAATTTGACTCAACACGGGGAAAACTCACCAGGGCAGAACTCACCAGGGCAGACCTCGCAAGGCCATGACAGACAGAGATGAAAAACAGTGAAAAACAGAAGAACAAAAGATGCTTGCAATGATGCCAAGGACCCCAGATTGACGTACATCAGCTTTTGCAGGTTAATCAAGGTTCATGTCACGGGTCTGAACCGGACAAACTGCTAGGATTCCAAGGTTTGTGTGAGTGAAGTTAACCACTTCTTGCAAAGGTACCACTATATTTGGTGTCGAGGTGGTCTGCCTGAATTCACCAGTCCCTGGACAGAGAGTCAAGGTTCAACCGCCAGGGGACTCGGTGAGAAACAAAAACAAAAGAAGTCTTCGGAAACTGCCCGTCACAGTCACATGCTCTTTGTTGTGTTTCACCACTCCGACAACACCCACACAAGCAAAAAAAAGAGAGAGCTGATTGGCCCTCCCACCGCCTGAAACAAAGGAAGGTAAGTTAGGTAACTGATGCATGCTGCAAACACACATACGTTTTTTCCTTTGGGTTGAACTTCAAGATTAACGACCTAATACAATGCTGGCGGAAATATGTGAGGAGGGGATTACTACTTTAGAATTTACCAACAGCTAGTTGCTGAAAGGGTGGGGATGGGTAAGGTCAGAGGGATGGCCGCCGGTCTTCTCAAATATAATTGATTTCCAGTTACATAATTCCTTAAAGTAGGGTGCTCATTTCATCATAATAGTATGATAATACACTATAATGTCATGATATTCAAGTAGAGACTGTCATATTCTCTTGCAAATTTTTGTGATCTTCAAGGAAATCTGGAAAGCCAATTAGGATGAGTGAATGGGATGCTCGGCCCAGTTTCCAGCATCAGACGAAGCTGGTTAATTGCCCAGTGCGGGTAGAATTGTGAGGTTCCTGCCCTCGGTTCCATTTCTGTTAATATCTGGTTTCCGAGGGATGGGAAATATATTAGAATTTAGCATCGGCCAGTTAACAAAGATGAGGACATTAAGGAAACCGTTGAAGACTAAGAAATGAACAAGAACAGAATGACAGTGTAAGGGGAGAAAAAGGAAAAGCGAATGCGCAAGACAAAGAGCACACAGATAGAACTATCATCTTTGTGCCAGGTCAATCAGGATATAGACCTCTCGTCAAAGAGGAAATCTGGACAGCCCTACTACAGATGGAGGAAGACAAGACACCGGGTATTGACGACCTCCCTAAGGAGTTTTGGGAATCTATGTCGCCAACTTTCTCCTCAGACCTGATGAAAATTTTTAGCTCAAATTAAGAGTCAGGACAGATGGGAGAAATGATGGGGCAAGGCATCCTTACTCTACTCTATAAAAAAAAGGGGACAAAACTAATATCAGAAATTACAGGGACCCACAAAAACAATCAATGGATGCCGACACACATCAAGATAGTACTATCACGATAGATTGGCAAGCCAAGGGAATCAAAATCATCAGTTGGAACGTCAATGGGTTGGGCAACGCACTGACTGAGGAAGATAAAGCAAGGGACATCCGGCTAGGTCTTTACGACAGGAACAGACCCAGACCAGCCGTGGTTCTACTTCAAGAAATGCACCCTTCTAATCTCCCAAACCACAGAAACATAAAAAGGGTAATAGAAAAAAGCCTAGGGGGTTGTGCTTTCGCACTATGGTCCAACCCAGGAGGGCTCAGCAAACGGGGGACAGCCATACTCGTACCTAATGCTTCCAAACTATGGTCAAAAGGTCAGATCCTCAGCAGTTCGGGAGACGAGATAGTCATGGCTAGACGTCAGATGGCAAGACGAGGAACTGAGAATTCTTAACATGTACGCCCCCAACGCAGAAAACAAACGCCTAGCCTTCTTCAGCAGCATCCAGTCCCTCATCCCAAATCCTCAACCGGTGATCATCGCAGGAGACCGGAACACGACCTTGGATCCAAACTTGGACGGCATCTCTAGCTCTCTACTAATAGGCCCAACAAGAGCAGGAACCCACATAAGAAACATCATGACAGAATTTGACCTCATCGACCCCTTCAGAATGCTGCACCCAGAGAAAAAGGCTTTCTCACTGGTAACAAGGAACCAGGCCAACCGGACGTTGCTGTCCCGGATAGACTTCTTCTTAATTTCCAAGCACCTCCAAGGAACAATCAAACAGGCTGAGATCTGCCCACCAGTGGCCTTCCGAGGTCTTGACCACAAGCCGGTAGAGCTGCTCCTGAACTTCGACTCTCCCACGGAAAAAGGTCGGGGCTTCTACAGAATTAACAACTCCCTGTTAGCCACCGAAAGACTAACAGAGGCAGTCAGATGGAACTGGTTCTTCTTGAGACAGAACAGTGCCAGACTGGACAACAAACATCAATGGTTCACTGACAGTTACATAGACCTTACCCAAACAGTCTCAGCCGAATCCAGAAGCATTGCAGGGGAACGAAAAATCAGAAAAGAAGAACTCCAACTCGCCATATCTCTCGCGGAGGACAACCTTGTCGCAAATCCCTCAAACACTTTTTACAGCCAACTACTCGATTCAGCAAGAAAAGAACTTATAGATTGGAGGAGATTGGAACTGAGAGGCCTACAGATTCGAGCCAGGATGACCAACCACACCCTTCACGAATCCATGACAAAACACTTCTTCACAAAAATCGAAGCTAACACCAGAAATAACAACATCGAAGGGTTGAAGGACCCAGACAATCAGAATAGGGTCGACCAATCAGGTTCGGGAATGGTGAAAATAGCCAGATCGTTCTACGCACAGCTCTACGAATCCAAAACACCTTCCCCCCTCCCCTCAGCCCACTCAACAGCACGACAACGAATGATGGCCTACTTGGAGAAGACAATCACACCAGAACAGACTGAGGGGTTGGACAAACCACTCTCGTTGGGTGAACTTTACACAGCCCTAACTCAGATGGGTAGCGATAAAGCCCCGGGCATTGATGGACTATCGAAAGAATTTTGGGTCCACTTCTGGCCCACACTAGGAGAGGACCTCAATTTTTTCAATAACAGCAAAGACCGAGGAGGACTAGGCCAATATCTGAGTACAAGTGTAGTATCGTTACTCCACAAAAAAGGCGAGAAAGAGGAGTTGAAAAACTATAGACCCATCTCGCTACTCACAACCCCCTACAAAATCCTAGCGAAAGCACTGGCCAACAGGATCATAAATATGACAGACAAGTGCTTCCACATCGACCAAGCGGGCTTCATCCCAGGCCGGTACATACTCGACAATGTGACGACTTTGAATGAGGTGGCCAAAAAGATAACCGAAAAAAGGATGAAAACAACGATCTTGTTTTTCGACTTCGAAAAGGCCTACGACCAAGTCAATTGGGACTTCGTTCACGCTTGCATGGAAAAAATGGGGGTTGGCCCGAACTTCAAGGATTGTGTCAAAGTGTTGTACGCTGACGAACCGGCAGAGTGCAGGTCAATAGGATCCTATCGGATACATACCCCATCTCCAGATCCGTACGACAAGGTGACCCCCTAGCTCCACCCATTTTTCTCTTCATTATGGAAGCCATAGCATACTTCCTCCGCAAAGATCCGTCCATAGACCGGCTCACTGAACGAAACTTCAACCCACTCCACGACTTCGCCCTACCCACTGCTCTGATGTTCGCAGACGATCTCACAGTTTTTGTTCGTGCTAACAACAGTTCCTTCCAAGCTCTCGCGAGGGCTATGGAGGCTTTCCGTCTCGCATCCGAAATGAAGGTCAACTGGAGCAAGACCGAAGGATGGTGGCTAGCAGACGAGACACCCCCCCAACCCGAGGGCACAACCACACCCATGTCGTGGTCCATGAACGAACAGGCACTCAGATACCTAGGTATCATGGTCAACAAGGATGGCGTGTGGCCGGGCATGGGCCACAACTTAATTGCTAAAGCAATAACTCGCTTGGCCCCATGCATGAACGCACAGGCATCGCTGATCGGGAGGGCACTAATTATAAACACAGCCATCTTCTCCACACTTTGGTACATCGCAAAGGCTAGAGCAAGATGCTATCTATGGACAGGGGACCCCAACCGAACCTCATGCATCAACAGGGTAGCATGGAGCCACATCATTAGGAAACCGCAGGAGGGAGGCATAGGGCTAATCCACCCCAAGCAAGAATCAACAACACTACAGATGAAATGGATCATCAAGATCCTGACCAGACAATATCTACCATGGACCAAGATGGCTCTAGACAGCATAAGAAGCCTAGCACCGATAAGCTCCCCACCGAACATGAGCGGCTACTTCTGGATTATAGCAAAGGAGTGGACGATAAGATCAAGCAGACCCCACAGAAACACCACACGGAACTCGGTCAACCAGGCAGCCCCAACACCCAACCCGTACTGGACCCCGACTCTGAAAGTCTGGCGACGTACGATGCCAAGCAAACGTGGCATGGTGGAGAACAAAGAAGAGGCCCTGAGACAACCGATATTTTGCAACGAGTGGATCAAGGACCCCGAGGGTAGTCCCTGGTCACTAAGAACGAAGGACCGAAGATGGCTGTCGTGGGTTGAAAAAGGGGTGTGGCAGGTAAAACACCTGTGGGTAGAAGAACGGGGGGAATGGCGAATGGAACAAGAACTCCAAAACACCCTAAAAGGATGTCACGCTCTCGCATACAACCTAATTTCAATCCAGAAGAGCATCCCACCCCCTT